CACGTGAATGAATTTTAAAGTTCGATGTCTATATTTTTTTTGGATAGCATTGGCAGAGTCCATACATGAATATTAGTCTTGCCGTTCCACGATATTTTTAAGGTATGCTCTAGAAAATAGAGTTCTATTAATCATGTATACAGTTGCATCATGTCTTTTAAGTAGGCGCTGAAAATTATAATTTTTGTAAAAAGTAATATTTGGAGTTAAGTTGAAAAATGGTATTTGAAATTTGAAATTATGTTTGGACATGTATTTCAGTTTACAAAAAAATTGCATTTTGTGAGGGGAAATCTGAAAATTTTGAAAAAGTGATTTTCACTTCCGATTTTTTTTTTTTAAAACTTATAAAATTTCATAGACAAATATATTTTTTTTAAATGAACAAAAAATTTAAGAACAAACGGGGCCTAAGACTTGTCCCAAGCTTTTCGAGACGGTTTATTTAGGAACTTTATGTGCATGTTTTGAGGTAGAGACTGCAACACAAGTCTGAGTATTCTCGCTATAGTTCCAACTATGTACTTAAATTTTTAAAAAATTTTGGCTAAGCATATTCGTGATCCTTACTTTTCCAATGTGTTTGATCACTTTCTTATAAAAGGTTTCAAAAGTTTCAATCTTCTAATTTTCTTTCTTTTTCTATTTTGAGAGATCATTTTATCGGCTATTGTAAAAATAAATGGAGAATTTAAGCTTTGTTGTTAGATTAATGAAAAGTGAGTAATTATCATGTATCACAGAGAAACAATTCTCTAAAAAGCTACTTATCTGTCCCAATTTATGTGATGTAATTCGGATTTCGAGAGTCAAACATTTTAATTTTGATTGCAAAATCGGACATATAATATGTGTTTGGTATAAAGAAAAATTATTTTCCAAGAAAATATTTTTATGGAAAAAAAGTGATTTTATCACTTAGTTTTCCTTGTTTGATTGGTGAGTGAAAAATGTTTTCCGAAAAATATTTTTAAGTGTTTGGTTAGAGAGTAGAAAATATTTTTTAGGATAATAATTTTTTATGCTACTCCCCTCACGCCCCTTCCTCCAAGTCCCCATGTTTCCCGTGCTTTCCTCCCCCTCCCCCCTCCCCCCTCCCCCCTCCCCCCCCCCCCCAACACACCCCCAAATACCTAACATTTTCAGGACTCGATTTTCTTCAAGAATTTAATTATTTTTCTAAAAATTTACACAAACCCAAAGGTACTAATGTGATGCTTTACTTTTTCATGCAAAAATAACTTTAAAATTTGTGCTCCATAACTAAAAAGAAAATACTTTTTTGGTGAAATGAAAGAAATTACTTTTTACCATATCATTTTGTTGAAATAAAAGAAAATACACTCTTTTTGTTGAAATAAAAGAAAATAAATATTTTTTTCTATATCATGAAAATAAAATACTTTTTTGTTAAAATAAAAAAAATATTGTTTTATATCATGAAAGAAAATATTCATTTGTTGAAATGAAAAAAAAAGTATTCTATCTATAACATGGAAAGAAAATACTAGTAATAATATTTTTATTTAGAGTGAAGGGTGGGTGGGGGTGGGGCGAGGGTGGGAAGGGGTTGGATGGAGTGGGATGGGTAGGTATTTTGGTGTGGGGGTGGGTTGGTGGGGATGGGAAATAGGGTGGGGAAGGTTGAAAAAGAGTTTTGGAAAATATTTTCCCTTCTCTTGATGGAAAAATATTTTCCTCCAATTGAAGGAAAATGAGTTTATGAGGAAAATATTTTCCAAAATATTTAAACCAACCAAACATGAGAAAATTGGAAATATTTTTCGAAAAATATTTTCCTTTATTCCAAAAACATCCATAATTTATAGATTTTTAAAATAAAATGTATAAATATAAAATTACATAAAAAATACTTTAATCATAATAATTAACAATTCAAGAATGGCATATGAATAAATTGCGGTCAAAGAAAAACTCATTTTACTCTCGAAATACGAACTACACATAAACTGAAATAGAGGGAATACATAATTAAAATCATAGATTCCATCCATTGTATAATTTTGCTAAACATATAGTACTGATTTATGGATAATTTTATCAATTTAGTCTAGTTTTTCTTTATAGCTAGTTATTTGAAATGATTGAATTTCTATTTCATGTAACAAAAAAGGAAATGAAAAAATAAAAATAAAAATAAAAATATCCAAAAAAATATTTGAACCGAGAAAATCATATACTACTACTAATTAGAGGGTGTTTGACTAAGCTTATAAGCTGATCAAACTAGCTTATAAGCACTTTTCGGCTTACCTACGCGTTTTGTAAAGTTGAAAGTGCTTATAAGCCAAGTGCTTATAAGTCAAAAATAAGCCAAAAGCCATAAGCTGGTCACCCCCAGCTTATGAATTTTTAGCTTATAAGCACTTTAAATTTGATCAAAATTTTTACTATTTTATCCTTAATATATTTCTTTTTAGAACAAAACTCCTACATCGATACTCACTGCCTCAAGTATTCAACCTAACTCCCCCTCCCCTTCCCCCNTTTTTCAACCTAAACTCTCCACCTCTTCATGTCTGCAATTCTCATTGACTATTTAACATAAGAATTTATATCTATGTGATTGTGTATTAATCTTTGAACAGTATGTAATAAATGAGGGTTTATCAAATTTTTGGTATATTGCTTTCTAAGTATTGTGTGATGAAGACAATGTTTGTTTCTCTTCAAATAATTTGTCATATTTAGGTTTATTTTTTACTGAGAAACTCTTGTCAATTTATTAATTATTATAACTTATGATTATATTCTTATCATAAAATAAATTATATTTATCACAAATTTATGTTATCTAAGTACAATTGTATTTAAAATAAAATAACAAATAGAAAAATTTGTATTTGAATCGATCTAGAATTTAAAATTTTGAAGAAATTACGCCCTTAGAAGTGTAAACAATTCTAAGGTTATTTAAGTCATTTTAACAGAAAAAGATCTTATCAGCACTTTTTTATCAAATACTGCAACAACTAATTATCAATTTCAGCACTTGCACCCAAACACGTAACTGCTTATTTATTAAATCAGTTTCAGCACTTAAAAGTGCTTTTCAGCACCTAATGCTTATCAGCTACTTCAAATCAGCTAATCCAAAGGGGCTCTTAGTTTGATTTCTTTTTAAATAAATATAATATCAAATCTAATAAACACCTCAACTTATAATTCCTTTGTTTTAATTTATATGAATATTTTTTTTTAGTCTGTGCCAAAAAGAATGATTCCTTTCAATATTTGAATATAATTTATCTTTATGTAATAATTTATAACCATATAAAATATATGTATCTTAATTTATATCACAAATTTAAAAGTCTTATTTTTATATTAACAGTCAAATATGTTCATAGTTGGTGAGTAGTTTATAAAAAAAAAAACTACCCATTTAAATTGGGGAGTAGTTTATAGTTGGTGTTTCAAAGTTATTTTAAAATAAAAAAATGAAAAATAATAAAAAATTAAATTAACTACAATAAAAAAAAACGCAAAAAATTAATTAAAAAAAAACCTACCTATTCAAGTTGGGGAATAGTTTCAATTTCGAGTTTTAAAATTATTTTAAAATAAAAAACTAAAATAAATAAATAAAAAATTGCCAATTCAAATTGGGGTATGGTTTCAATTTGGAGTTTTAAAATTATTTTAAAATAAAAATGGAAATAATAAAATAAAAATTGCCAAGGCATTTAAAAGGGTTATTTGCAAGAAATATGTATTTGAAAGGGTAACATCGAAAGACTTTTTTTTGAAGCCTGCGTGCTTTTTTGTAATATTGTTAACTTCTCGAAAAATCGAAAAATTTATAAACCAAATTCATTGTGATTAAGCCAAGTGACAAACTATTATAAAGCCACTAGGCAATTTAGCATAATTTTATTACTAATACTTAATTTAAAATAAAATATTTTTTTTCAAATCAGAATGTCGTATCTTAATTAATAAGATTTAAAAAAAATTACATTGAAAGATAAAAACAGCGCCTCTATCTTAATTAATTATAAAGATAAAGATATAGGTATTATAAAAAATACGATAAATTTAAACATTAATATGAACAATAGAATTACACAAATTAAAAGAAAAAGAGAAAAAAATATAAATAAATAATTTCAATGTAGAAATATTTGGAAGGATAAGACGTATTTAATTTTTGAGAAGAGAAAGTATATTAAAGAATAACGAATAAACTTTGCATTGTGGTTAAGCTAAGTGACAAACTACTATAAAACTATTTGACAATTTAGGATAACATTAATACTAATACTTAATTTGAATTTAATTTTTTTTTTGAATCTTAATGAAAAGAAAGTGAATATTTTTGTGAAGATATTGTCTGTCTTATCTTAATTAATAAAATTTTAAAAAAAACAAATAAATTAAAAGATAAAAACAACACCTTTGTCTTAATTAATTATAAAGATAATAATATAGGTATTATAAAAAATATGATAAATTTATACATTAATAGGAACAATAGAATAAAAGAATAAAAGTAAATAAAAAATTTTACTACAAGAAAAAAAAACATATTTTTACTTATAATGTATTATAATGGAAGTAACAGACAAGAATATATTAATTTTAAGTTATGGGTAATTTTAAGAGATTTGAGAAATTTCTGCTTTTTTATTAACATATTTTTAATGATTATATATAACTTTAATCTGAAAGATTAATATTTTAAAGTTATTTACACATAAATCAAATAATTCAAATCACATGTTTGTATCACTATTTCGCTTTTTATAAAGCATAGTGTCAGTCTTCTTTACTTTATAGAGTAGGATTCAATTACACTCAAATATGTTCATATAAATTGAAACGGATGGATATTTTTTTTTTCTTCTCATGATATAGTAATAATTGACCATACCGACCGGTTCTCCAAGTTTGAAAACGGAGGTGCTTATAATTGAAGTACTAATATTTTGACGGCACACCAAATTGGAAAGCTCGAGTGACAAAGTCCACTATATAATTCAACTCCACACTCCGTAGTTACATCAACAAAATATAGTAAGCAATTAAATCATCATAGAAAAAATGGAGGAAACATCAACAGTTTTGGCCCAACAATTACCAGAAGAAATCTTCTTTGAAATTCTCTTGAGGTTACCTGTCAAATCTCTCTTGAAATTTAGGTCTGTTTCAAAATCATGGCTTTCTTTAATCTCATCTCCTTTATTCAACAAAACCCATGTCAATTTTTCCTTAAACAACCCCCAAATGACTGATTATAGACTTGCTGTAGTAGCCTCAGTTTCTAAATTGGGCAGAATCTGCAATATTTACAACATGGGGTTTGAAAAAGATTCCTTTTTTACTGTGGTTAAACATAGTAATCCTGCTAAATCTTTATCTCTCTCTGCTAAGATTTTGGGTTCTTGCAATGGGTTAATTTGTTTAACTAGTGATAAATTTACACTAATGTTATTCAACCCATGTACTGGAAATTTTAATGTATTTCCTGATTCAATGCTGAAAGATAACGGTGGTGGTTGTTATGTTAGATATGGATTTGGTTATGATGTATCTAATGAAGATTATAAGGTTGTGAAAATCTTTAGTTTTCCTCTGGCCGAGGGTAGATATGAGAACATGGTTAAGGTTTATAGCTTAAAGGATAAATCTTGGTCAATTATTGAGGGTTTTAATAGTGGTAATATAAATGGAAAGTTGGGTGTGTTTGTAAATGGTGCTCTTCATTGGGAAGTATGTTATAGTTATTGTTCGAGTGATTGTTGGGAGATTGTTACGTTGGATTTGGCTGCAGGGCAATATGGTAAAATAGCTCTGCCGAGATACGAAGATGAAGGTATTTATTGGACATTGGGTGTTTCAAGAGGGTATTTAGTTGCTTGTTGTAACTATGAACCAAAAAAGGCAGATATGTGGGTAATGAAAGAGTATGGTGTCGAGAAATCTTGGACTAAATTGGTTACCATGTCGTTGCCTGTTGATCGTAGGGATTATATCTCACCGTTGTTTGTGACAGAGAAAGGTGATGAAGTTTTGTTGCAGCTTGGCGCAGAGCTAATGCAGTACAATACAAGGAATGCATCATTCAAACGACTAGACGATTTCATGTCAGGTGATTTTCGTCAAGTTCAAATGGCTACCTACTTTGAGAGTATTGCTTCACCTCATATTTAGTGACGTGATGATAGGTTAAAGGTGAAGGCAAATGAGTTTAAGAGATGGTAAAAGATCTTTCTGATTGCCTGGTGCCTGCTCCTGTTCTCATAGTTATTGATAACATTGTGTCTTGTTGTATTTTTTGTATTCTTCTTATCATGTAATCATGCTCAATTGAAGTTCTATCTTCCGACACAATTCATATCATGCACCATGTGGATACAAAATCCTTGAATGCACTAATGTCAATGGCCGACCTCGGGCCACAGTGGCCTGACACGGCCGAGTTCGTGCCATTGACATACGCATGCCACGACCAATCTCGTGCCATAGTGGCCTGTGACAGCCGACCTCGGACTATTGTTATAGGCATGCCACGGCCGATGTCACGATCCGGATTTTCCCACCTTCGGGAATCGTGATGGCGCCTACTCGTGAAAGCTAGGCAAGCCGACAGTTACAATTTTACCACCATTTTTATTAATTCAAACAGGAACAGATAATAACTAAAACAAAATAATTATGAAATGCGGAAGTGATATAGCAATCCAACAGTTCTAATACATAACTACCCCAATGATCTGGTGTCAAAATCCACGGACGACTAAGATTTACTACAAATATAAGTCTGAAAGAAGTACAACTGTTCTCGAAATAGAAGAGACAGAAGAAACTAAAACGGGGAAAGGGGACTTCAGGCTCTGCGAACGCCAGCAGATCTACCTTGGTCTCCCTGGACTGAAGGCAGCAACCTCAAATCTACTCACAAGGTCCGACACCGAAATCTGCACAAAAGTGCAGAGTGCAGTATCAGTACAACCGACCCCATGTACTGGTAAGTGTCGAGCCTAACCTCGGCGGAGTAGTGACGAGGCTAGGACACAACAATCATTAAAACCTGTGCAGTTAAATCATATACGAACAGAACAATAATAACAGAAGAATAACAGATAAAGATGGGAAAAGGAACATGCTGCGAGGAATATCAAGTTCCGACAGTAATCCAACAAAGAAGCATAATAAACACCATATTTGTATCAACAGGAATAATGAAATAGTAAACGTGCACGGCATCACCCTTCGTGCTTTTACTCTCGTCCTCACCATAAGAAACAATAGAAACTGCACGGCATCACCCTTCGTGCATTAACTCTCACAATCATGGCACGGCATCACCCTTCGTGCATTAACTCTCAAATCATGGCACGGCATCACCCTTCGTGCATTAACACTTACAATATCGGCACGACATCACCCTTCGTGCATTAACACTCACTCACAATATCATGCACGACATCATCCTTCGTGCTTTACACTCATCCTCACCCAAACAGTAGAAACAATACATCCCGGCAAGGGAATCAACAATAACCAATTTCATTTCAACAATTAACTTCACAAAGTAACTCTCAACTTGAGTCAATACTCAACAATGATCAAATACTCAACAATTTCAGAAAACTTGCTCAACATAGCGAAACATCATTTTAAGCATGCACAATACGTGATAAGGGATATAACGGTCACAATATAAGACTCACTTGCATGGTCAACATCAACGTATAGATACTCGTCACCATGCCTATACGTCGAACTCGATACTAACACATAGCAAATAGGACAACAACACATATTCCCTCAAGATAAGGTTAGAACAAACACTTACCTCGATTCCACAGCCAAAATAAAGCCTCAATTACCACTTTACCTCTCGGTTCCACTTCCAATCCGCTTGAATCTATGATTTGGGGAAGAACTTGCTCTAGGAAAATCGCCCTTTGGAGTTTAGGTTTTGAAATTTTGAAGAATGAAGTGAAAATCCCGTCCAAGACCCCTTTTACTCGGATGCAGATGTCGCATTTGCGACAGGAGCTTCGCATTTGCAAAGCTCGCAAATGCGAGAAAGGCATCGCAATTGCGAACCTTCCGCACTTCTGCTGTTATCGCAAATGCGAGCCATTTGGTCGCAAATGCGAAAATCCCCTTGCCCTGCTCCCTTCGCAAATGCGAATAAAAGTTCGCAATTGCGAACATGCCCAGGCCCAGCTTCCTTCACATTTGCGATGGAAGCCTCGCAATTGCCAAGCTTGAGAGGCTCGCAAATGCGAAGCCTGATCTCGCAATTGCGAGATCAGAGGCCTGCAACTCTGCTGAAGCATACCAGTAAATTCTCTAAGTTAAAAATCATTCCGTAGCCTATCCAAAACTCACCCGAGCCCTCGGGGCTCCAACCCAAACATGCACACAAGTCTAAAAACATCATATGGACTTGCTCGTGTGATCAAATCACCAAAATAGCATCTTAAACAACAAATTTAAAACTAAAACTCATGAAATTCATAAGATAGTTCAAAATTTCCATTTTCTCAACCAAGGGTCCGAATTACATCAAATATCTTTTGTTTTTTACTCAAATTTCACAAATATGACTTAAATATTATAACGGACCTGTACCGGGCTCCGGAACCAAAATACGGGCCCAGTACCATCAAGTTCCAACACTATTCAATTTCTAAAAACCTTTATATTTTCCAGCAAACAATTTTCTTTAAAAATTCTTTTCTCGTGCTAGGGGCCTCGGAATTCGATTCTGCGTATACGCACAAGTCCCATATTTTAACACGGACCCTACGGGACCGTCAAATCACGGGTCCGGGTCCGGGTCCGTTTACCAAAAATGTTGACCGAAGTAAACTTTAATCAATTTTAAAGGCCAAATTCAATATTTTTCTTAAATTTCACATAAAAGCTTTCCAGAAACGCGCCCGGACTGCGCACGCAAATCGAGGAGAAAGAAAATGAGGTGTTCAATACCTCAGAACCCGGATTCGGGTTCTAAAACAAAAGATGACCCCTTGGGGCATCATATTCTCCACCTCTAAAATAACCGTTCGTCCTCGAATGGACATAGAAAAGTACCTGAATCGGTGAAAAGATGGTGATATCGGCTCCACATATCGAACTCGGACTCCCAGGTCGCTGCCTCAACAGGCTGACCTCTCCACTGCACACGAACTGAAGGCAAATTCTTTGATCTCAACTGACAAACCTGCCGGTCTAAAATATCTACCGGCTCCTCCTTATAGGTCAAGTCCTTGTCCAATTGGACAGTGCTGAAGTCCAACACGTGGGATGGATCGCCGTGATACTTCCGGAGCATGGACACATAAAACACTGGATGCACAGCTGATAAACTCGGCGGCAACACAAGTCTGTAAGCCACCTCTCCTACTCGATCAAGAATCTCAAAAGGCCCAATGAACCTAGGGCTTAGCTTGCCCTTTTTCCCAAATCTCATCACGCCCTTCATGGGCGACACCCGAAGTAACACTCGCTCTCCGACCGTGAATGCCACATCACGAACCTTACGGTCGGCATAACTCTTTTGCCTGGACTAAGCTGTACGAAGCGTATCCTGAATGATCTTAACCTTGTCCAAGGCATCCTGTACCAAATCCGTACCCAACAATCGATCCTCCTCCGGCTCAAACCACCTAACTAGCGATCGACACCGTCTACTATATAATGCCTCATAGGGAGCCATCTAGATGCTCGACTGATAGTTGTTATTGTAGGCAAACTCCGCTAACGGCAAAAACTGATCCCAAGAACATCCAAAGTCAATAACACAGGCGCGAAGCATATCCTTCAAAATCTGAATAGTACGCTCGGACTGTCCGTCCGTCTGAGGATAAAATGTTGTGCTCAACTCGACCCGTGTACCCAACTCACGCTGAACTGCCCTCCAGAAATGCGAGGTAAACTGCGTACCCCGATCAGAAATGATAGACACGGGCACACCATGGAGACGAACAATTTCTCGGATATAGATCTCAGCTAACCTCTCTGAAGAATAGGAAACCGCCACAAGAATGAAATACGCTGACTTAGTCAGCCTATCAACCATAACCAATACCGCATCGAACTTCCTCTAAGTCCGTGGAAGTCCAACAACGAAGTCCATGGTGATACGCTCCCACTTCCACTCAGGAATCTCAATCTTCTGAAACAAACCACCAGGTCTCTGATGCTCGTACTTTACCTGCTGACAATTCAAACACCGAGCTACATATACAATGATATCCTTCTTTATTCTTCTCCACCAGTAATGCTGCCGCAAGTTCTGATACATCTTGGCGGCGCCCGGGTGAATAGAATACCGAGAACTATGAGCCTCCTCTAAAACCAACTCACGAAGTCCATCCACATTAGGCACACAAACACGACCCTGCATCCTCAAAACTCCATCATCTCCAACTATAACCTGCTTGGCACCACCGGGCAGCGCTGTGTCCCTAAGGACTAGCAAATGAGGATCATCATACTGTCGATCTCTAATACAAATAATGAAGATCGAGCGACGGTACAAGCTAGAACACGGCTAGGCTCAGGGACATCCAACCTCACGAACTGATTGGCCAACGCCTAAACATCCAAAGTAAGTGGTCTCTCACCGACTGGAATATATGCAAGGCTAACCATACTAGCTGACTTCCTACTCAAAGCATCGATCACTACATTGGCCTTCCCCGGATGGTATAAGATGGTGATATCATAGTCTTTCAATAGCTCCAACCACCTCCTCTGCCTCAAATTTAGCTCCTCCTGCTTGAACAAATACTGCAGACTCTTGTGATCCGTGAACACCTCACATGACACGCCATATAAATAATGCCTACAAATCTTCAGTGCGTGAACAATGGCTGCTAGCTCTAAATCATGAACTGGATAATTTTTCTCATGAATCTTCAACTGCCGTGAAGCATATGCAATAACCTTGCCATTCTGCATCAACACCGCACCCAGTCAAATACGAGATACGTCACAATATACTGTAAATGGCCCTGAACCTGTGGGCAAAACCGACAACGGCGCCGTAGTCAAAGCTTTCTTGAGCTTCTGAAAACTCGCCTCACACTCGTTCGACCACCTGAACTGGGCACCCTTCTGGGTCAACCTAGTCATCGGGGCTGCTATAGATGAAAACCCCTCCACAAATCGATGGTAATAACCCGCCAAACCCAAGAAACTCCGGATCTCTGTAGCCGATGTGGGTCTAGGCCAGTCCTTGACTGCCTCTCTCTTTTTCGGATCCACCTGAATACCCTCTGCTGATACAACGTGACCCAAGAAGGCAACTAAACTCAACCAGAACTCACATTTTGAAAACATAGCATACAACTGACTGTCTCTCATAGTCTG